TTTCCCGGGGGTTTGTAGCTGCACGGAGCGATGCATCTCTTCGCCCTTGTCCCGAAACGTGCGTGGTAAACGCACTCTCCGGCGTCTCCACGCCGGCTAGCCACAGCCGTGTCCGGCCTCCGCCACGCTTTCTTGACTGCCGGTGGGCTGCTGAGCGTCGCGGCTAACGTCTCTGCCCCGGGCTGTTGCGTAGCCAGGAAAAAAACGATCCGCTTCCTCAGCCAAAGCACGGGGCTCCATGACAGGCGTGTTGGCCAGCGCCGTCTGTACCCGGGGAGGCAAGTGACGCAGGAAAATCTCCGTGAATAAAATCCGGGGATCTTCCCCCCCTAGCAGATTTAACATTTTCTCCATTAGCTGGGATGGCTTGCTGTCTCCTAGGCCTTGAATGTCAAGTATCTGGCGGGCCCTCTCCTTAGCAGATAAGCTAAATGTCTTAAGGAGAAGGGCCTTAATCGCCTCATATTTGCCATGATGTGGGGGGGCTGCGATGAATCCCACCAACCTGGACGACGTGGAGCTCCCCAGCGCTGCTACCACATGGTAGTATTTTAGGTCCCCGTCACGGACCTGTCGGCAGGCGAAATGTGCCTCCACGTGTGCGAACCATGCCTCCGCGGCGTGCTCCCAGAATTCCGGCAGCTTTATGAAAACATCGCGCTCAGCCATGTTCGTTAATTTTCCGGAAACTTTCTCGGAAAAGTCAGGGTCACCAGTGTAGTGCCGTGAAAAGAGAGTCGGAGGCGGTGTATTAAGAATGGAGTTCCAATCTTTATTATCCATTACTTTCAGAGAGGTTAACACATGCACTGCTCTGCCTGATGAGCTAGCAGGAATGGCAGCTAAAGCTACAGGTGTTCCCCACTAAAGGGTCCGTGTGGCAACACAATAAGCAAGGTGAATTATGTCCAATAACGTGTCACCACAAAGGACATTTTCTTGGACTAAGGTCAGACCCATGGATGTATAATAAGAACTGGATACAGCGTGGGAGGCGGGGCCTCATTCATTCCTATGAGAGTTGCTCATTAGCGCATGATGACAAAATGGCCCAACTTTTGAGAGAGCGAAACGTCACAGATTACCCGGCATGCCTGAGAAGTACCCGTATGTGCACTCATAGAGCATGCGCAACTTTAACCACGCCGCCCAAAAGGCTCGTTCACATTAAGCACGTGAATTTGCGTACACGTAACAGCACCGCGCGTTCATGACAGCATGGTACCGGATTTATATTAACGAGGCGGCAGTTAGCAGCTAGCGGCTAGCTAGTAAATTATGCTAAATTACACATCAATCGTTATGTACTTTTATATTACGCTGACATCAGGATCTAGTGATATCCAAGCAACAGAGCTTCATTTAGCATGATACTTGTGTGGGTTGTACATGAAACCATTTGGTAATATATACAAATGTATATGTTGAAGCCTGTTATGATCAATTGTGAGTTAAAACTTTATCTAAAAAGTAAAGCTGATCATCAGCTTTACTTTTTAGATAAAGTTACTGTGGTGGAGTTAAAATAACAATAGCCTATTTATTTTTGAAATGTGATGGAGTAAAAGGATAGTAACTGTGATTATTCATGTTAAGTAGCCCACAAGTAAATAAAACAATTGCAAGTGCAATAAGAAGCTACATGAACGTTAATCTACGTCGGTAATATTAACTTTATTTAATACAACATTTACGGTACAAGATTACATCATACAGCCCATGTAGTATAATATTTACAAATAATTAATTACAGCAAACATGTGCAATATATCCATTATTACAGCTCCGTGGGCTGGCAGTAAGGCGATATGGTGACAGTCCGTTGTTATTGTGTATCCATGGGTAAAGAGAAACATGAACGTGCCGGGCGGCGCGGTCCCGTGGATTAGATGCACGTTCATAATGCCGAGGGAAATAACTCTCAGAATAACGTTATTAGCACATTTTTACAACTTGAGGACCGAATGTTTTTAATAAGGGCTATACAAACGTTCATACTGGGTAGTGTATTTAGTTTAAAAAAAATTATCCAACGAGTTACAGACCACTCTTTCCCCATGTAAGTCAATGGGAAAAAGTGTTTTCCGGGCCCAGCAACCTAAAGGAAGTGTAGTACCGCCGTTTGACCAGCACGAATATTCTCATCAGACTCCGGCGCACTTCATGGGGGCTTGGTCAGACCTCACACCCAGCCGCCGGAAGTTGATAGACGCCATCTTGTGCACAGAGCCTGAGCACAAGATGGCGAAAAACCGAGAGGAGAAGAAGGACAAAAGAAGAGGTGAGTGGATTACACAGATGCAGAGGTTTCATTAAGTGTATTTATACCTGTTAGCTTAGTTTACAGTTAATCACGAATCAGAAGTTATCTTATTTAACACAACAGCTGTAATCTTGGAAGAAAGAAACTCACAAAAAAAACATTAAAATGTGCGCCAAAAATAGTCTCAAACTATCTTTAAATAAAGGCTAACAGCTATCGTCTAACAGCTATCGTCTAACAGCTAAAGTCTGAAAGCTATCGTCTAACAGCTAAAGTCTGAAAACTAACAGCTACAGTTACTATTCCAGTTCGGCTCTGGGGGAGTAACAGTTGATTTGTAATGCTCAGCTGACTTTATGTTAGTTATTTATTACACCAGTTGTCTTTAAGACGGTTTGAGTTGTTGTGTTGGTGCTCTTTACCATAGATATGGTTTTAAATGTATGCTAACTAGCTTATTAGCATCGCCATTCACCGCGACGTAGCATTTTTCCCATTGAAATGAATGGGGTTCTTCAGTTAGCAGCTAACGCTAAGCTAAGCGACGGTTTAGCTCATTAGATAAATAGATATACTTTATTTAAATAATGATTTATCTTAAACTGGGAAATGAATGTGTCACAGCAGAAGTGTTTTCAGGCATTACACGAGTTAAACATATTTAAAAGATGCAATAAGATATAATACAAATGAAGCATTAGCAGCAAGTATACACACAGGACACATATCACTAGAGTATCTAAAGAATACACAATATACAGAAAATACTGTATACATGGAGTACATTAAACAGTCTCACTAGCTAATGTTTGCTTTCTGTGTTAACTTAGTGATAGTTACAAACGGATATCGTTATAACCGTGGTTCAAACAACCATTAATGTCACTTTCTATGTGAATAAAGTCATTTTAATGAAATAAAAGGGAACAAACTGTGAGCTGTAAGTTAGAATGTAAGTTGCTACACAGATTATGATGAATTATATCTAAATATTTGTATTATATTAATAATAATTTACACAGAAAACCAACTTTGTATCGTAATGGTTAAAGTAATTTGCATGTAACGTTAATAACTATCTGACCTTTCTATCATGTTCTCCTCTGCTTAGCATCACATTGACTAAATGGATCAATTTGGAACATGTTCACGTCACAGCAGCATAGATAAGACAAGGCACTGCACATGGTGTGATAAAACACTACATATAAGCATCTAGAAATAGAACATATCATTGAATAAACTCTTTGAATTCCTCCTCTTCACTGCTGACAGTTTATGATGAATTATATCTAAATATTTGTATTATATTAATAATGAAGCAGCTCTGTGGTCTTCATCAGGACAGCTGATGAGCAGCATGGAGGAGAAGAAAGAGACCCCTGGAGCTCAGGTCAGTGTGCACTTCATCACAATATATTCCTAATTCCAGCGTTTCCGCCAGGCGGGCGTCTTGCCTTCATTTGACGCCCTTATTCAGCTCGGAACGCCCTATACAGACATAAATACACCAGCGACTGTATTCGCCATGACACAGACAGTCTGTGGTTTGTACTTGTTTAACTTCTGTCTAGTTTCTAGTAGCATGTGCGAGAAGGTCCGCCATATTTGGCAACTCTAATAGGACATTTGACGTCTAGACGGCTGCCCGATTTGCATCGTGCATGCACAAGTCATAAACGTCTCAAATATCTTTATTAAAATATTTTGTTATTTGAAATAAAATGAAGGACATTCACAGTTAATGTAATTAGATATAAATTATGAATGCCATATTGCATACATTCACAGTCAATATTTCTTCAGTATGTATGATAGCTGCCTAACAGAAGTTACATCAATTTCTCACTTATTCTGACAATGTACTTAACCCAATAAAATGACCCAATAAAAGCAGTTGTTCAATAATAGTGAAGTCACGTTGTAATAACAATAACTCATCTCTCTCGTTCAGATTAATATTGTCGGGTTTTTTGAGTGTTCTTTTTCTGCTTTGCCAAACGATACTGTGTCAAATGTCCTATTAGAGTTGCCGTATGGAGTTGTCAAATATGGCGGACCAACTCGCACATGCGCACTGCAGATAGGGCAGGGCTGCAGATCGGGTAGTGATACACATTGAAGATGATGTCACGGCTCCGCCCACACTGCGTTACTATAGTTACTGCTAGGGTTGCAAAGCCGGGGCGGAAAGTTTCCGGTAAATTTCCGGAAAGTTTCCATGGGAAGTTAAGCTGGGGAATTTTAGAAATATTACCCCTGGCCGAAATGTCCCTAAAATGAATTCCGAGTTTGAAATATATCTCAAATAATGTATGTATTTCCCCACATAAACATAACAGTCTGCAATGAAACGGCTGTCTCCTGTGCGCTCCACTTCCTACTTTCTCTCTCTTTTTTTTCTTTCATTGCCCTCTAGGGGCTTCGTACGATACAAAAACAAATGCAAATATTTTATTTTAAAAAGTAAAGTCCTTTCGAGTCATCTGTCTCAAGCCTAAGTCTCAAGTCATGAATACCAAGTCAAAGTCAAGTCGAGTCTTTTATCAATGTTAGTCAAGCAAGTCTCAAGTCAAAAAATAGGCAAGTCAACTCATTAGACTGGAGTCAAGTCATGTGACTCGAGTCCCCCACCTCTGGTATATACTTTGGTTAGAATACTGCTGTATTACTGTATCAAATATAATAAACACAAACAGTTGATAAGTAGTATTTTGTTAACTCAAGGTTTATATTAAAGGGGACCTATCATGCAAAATGCACTTTCGTACATCTTTTATACATGAACATGTGTCCCCGGTGTTCCAGGGAACTCACCAAGTGTCAGAAAACACAACCCTCTCTATTTTCCTCCATACCCAAATCTCGAAAAAAGGGGCTGCAACGGATCTGATACAGACTGACCCAGATTTGAACACTTTACTGACGTCAGTAAAGTGGGGATACGGCTATTGGTCAACTCTCCACCTATCAGGGGAATGAGAGGTTGGGCCACGGCCGGCCATTGCCGCTTGAAAGCGCTGGAGAGGCTGTAGTACATATGCCAGGCCTGTAAGTGGCGCTGTAGTCTGCCACAAAAGCAGCGAGGAAGAAGACTTCCCTTGCATGGTTTCCATGGTTGCCCTTCTGTTTATTCTCCGCTGTGGCTCTTTTTCTCCCCCCACCCCCCCCCCCGCACCACAGTTACGGCCCGTCCACACTACAGCGTCGACAGCTTCAATCTGCCCATTCACTTTGAATGGGGTGACGTCACGTTGTCGCTTTTTTTCGCCGAACTGAATTGTGGGTAACATAGCGGTCCGTCTCCGCCGGAGTAGCCAGCGCCAGCCAATCAAATCCCGTTTTGGAAAATCTGACAGATCAAGCCGTAGCCAATCAAACCGCGTCTAAGCTGGGAGAGATATCCCGCCGTTCATTTCTATATTTCAAAAAAAGATGGAGGAGAAACTAATTATCGCCGTATCAAATCACCCGGTTTTGTATGACCAGACCCTCTTCACCTACCGGGATACAAACCGGAGGAACCAGGCATGGAGGGAGGTGGCAGAGACAGTGGGTGAAACTGGTAGGTTTTCGCCTGTTTGGGGAGTTTATATATATATTGCTCGCATAAAATCTCCGGGGGTTTTTGCTTTGTATGTCGGGGGCGGGAGATACATGTGATTGGTTGTTGGTCGCGTTGCTTGAATAAAATCCCCAAGCTTCAGACACGCCCAGCTCCAAGCTTTTGTTGAAGCTGTAGTGTGGACGCTCCGTTACTCCGCTGCGAGACGCTGCACGCACCCCCAACTCTGACTGACTTCCCGCGTCCCTGTGTAACTGGGAAACTGATAGAATTGGATCATAAGATCGTGGTGTTTTTGCAACTTCAGCATAGGGGATAGGGATGTTTATTGAACTTCGTTTCAACACATGTATGGCTCTGCCGCTCAGCACTGCTGCTTGCTTCAGTCTGTGTCTGCGTTCTTTCGCACCTGCCTGTAATCTGAGAAGGTCCCGCCTCTCTGGCTCCCGCCCGGAAAATCTTCAGTAATGGCCTATCAGATAGCGCTGTGGGCGGGACATTGCTCGTGTACACAGAGTGGTGACTGCAGCCAGAGAAACGGCCGCATCAGAGCCAAAGTTTTATCGGCAATTTGATAAAAAAATGCCGATACCGATAATCGGTCAAATGGGGAATATCGGCCCCGACCCCTAATAAAGATAAAGCAACACTTTCTCAGAATAAAGCAAAACTATGAGTTTAAAAGAAAAAAAAACTAAGTCAAGCAAAATAAAATAAATTTCAAAAATAAAACTATAAATTGCAAACAAATCATTTGTGTATTCATGTAAACTATAAGTATTTTTTCTTTGTTTGAGATTCTGACACAAACATCCCAGGTGGGCGGGACTTTCAGGGGTGCGTCCTCATTGGCTACTCAGTTTTTGAGTGACAGCCCACTCCACCACAGATCATACAGTGCAACTCATGCAGCAACTCTGCCACGTTAGTGTCGGTGTCTCCTGGGGGGTTTTCATGAACATATCGGACTTCTCTTATGGATTGCAGTGCATTATACTTGTGATGTGTAGTTCATACTTTATCCCAACTTTAAATATGTTAATACCTGAACACACTGCTGCTGTTAAATAATTTCCCAATTTGGGATTGATAAAGTGTCTGTCTATTTATTTTATAGATTAAAAAAACACATCTATGTATTTTTAAGCTAAAGGTGATACACAATATAAACTGTATACTATTATTTTTCAAAGACATGTTAAATTTCAAAAGCATATATTGCTATGTTTAGGACAAACAATTACAGACTGCTTTAATTGAACAAATTCTGCAATATAAAAGTGGCAGATTTGCTTTATTAAACAGACCAGACCTAGGCTGCTACCAACACAATTAGGAGCATGCTCACATCTTACTATGTTGGTCTGAAGAGCTGAAGCATTCATACACAATGGATAAAACCGGTGTTGTTTCATACTATATCCTGTGAGAAAATTATATACATTTAGCATTACAAATTCGACATACTATTCCTAGCCTGAGGAAGATTTGAATAATCAACAGATTTGAATGGAATCTCTAACATTTTCATTTAGAATAAAGGCAAAAGAGTGATTATACAAATTACATTTATTGAAATTTGAACCAGAAGATGAAGTCTCAAAGAATGTTTTAAATAAAAGGACATAAGATGCATTGTTATGGATCTGGTAGCACAAGCTAACTTTCATAGTACAGCTTTACTTCTCACTTAACACAATAAAGAAACGGACCGTATAGCACAAACAACACAAATGATCAATACTTACATATATTTTCACTTGTAGTATTATAATAATTGAAATGCTGGTTGTTCTGGGGGTCTTCTGTCCACGCTCAGCTAGCTACCGCACCGCAGCTGCCTGCACTGTACAATCGCTGGAGGACTGGGCTGTCACTCAAAAACTGAGTAGCCAATGGGGACGCAACCCTGAAAGTCCTGCTCACCTGGGAGGTTTGTCTCAGAATCTCAAACAAAAAATGAGGGAGAGCAAAAGAGAAAGCTGCAGCGAGAGCAAAAGTCTGATCATTGACAAAGAAGAAACAAGAACTGCAAACAAAAACCTATGTTAAAACAAAGAAAAAACACTTATAGTTTACATGATTACACAAATGTTTTGTTTGCAACTTATAGTTTTATTTTTGAAATGTTTTTTATTTTTCTTGACTTAGTTTTTTTTTCTTTTAAACTCATAGTTTTGCTTTATTCTGAGAAAGTGTTGCTTTATCTTTATGATACAAAACTAATCCCATATTTCTGCCCGATTACATCTCTTCTTACTTCTATAAGAATAAAACACGGTGGACGGAGATCTCTTTTTCTCCCCCTCTTCTCCCCGCTGCAGCCCAGCAGCTGATCTTAGAGTGGTCAGCTGCAGCTCACAGAATCAGCCCCCTGCAAAAACAGCGCTGGAAAGAGCAAATAGAGCATGGCTAAAATGCAGGATCTTTTTGGTATTTTGAAAAAAATACTATATTTATATACTTTATATAGGTATGGCCCTACAATATATTGTTCAAATATAGCATGATAGGTCCACTTTAAGTGAGTTTTTATTGTGTTAACTTGTGTATTTATGCTTTTTAGATTGACTTTCTCTCTTTCTCTGTCTGTCTGTTCTAGAAACCGAAAGGAAGAGAGAGACGTCACAGCTGTCAGCAATGTGACAAATCCTTCACAACATCTGGAAATTTAAAGCGCCACCTGCATATTCACACAGGAGAAAAACCGTACAGCTGTGAAGAGTGTGGGAAAACTTTCACTAGATCAGGTGATCTCAAAATACATCAACGTATTCGCAGGAGAAAAACCGTACAGCTGTGAAGAGTGTGGGACAACTTTCACTCAATCAGGTGTTCTCAAAACACATCAACGTATTCATACTGGAGAAAAACCTTACAGCTGTGAAGAGTGTGGGACAACTTTCACTACATCAGGTGCTCTAGAATCACATCAACTATTCATACTGGAGAAAAACCTTACAGCTGTGAAGAGTGTGGGACAACTTTCACTCAATCAAGTCATCTCAAAATACATCAACGTATTCACACAGGAGAAAAACCGTACAGCTGTGAAGAGTGTGGGACAACTTTCACTCAATCAGGTGATCTACAAAAACATCAACTATTCACACAGGAGAAAAACCTTACAGCTGTGAAGAGTGTGGGACAACTTTCACTACATCAAGTAATCTCAAAATACATCAACATATTCACACGGGAGAAAAACCGTACAGCTGTGAAGAGTGTGGGACAACTTTCAGTACATCAGGTGATCTACAAAAACATCACCGTATTCATACTGGAGAAAAACCGTACTGGTGTGAAGAGTGTGGGAAAACGTTCACTCAATCAAGTGCTCTCAAATCACATCACCGTATTCATACTGGAGAAAAACCGTACAGCTGTGAAGAGTGTGGGAAAACGTTCACTTCATCAAGTGCTCTCAAATCACATCACCGTATTCATACTGGAGAAAAACCGTACTGGTGTGAAGAGTGTGGGAAAACGTTCACTACATCAAGTGCTCTCAAATCACATCTTCGTGTTCACACAGGAGAAAAACCATAGTGGTTTTAAGAGTGTAGGAGCTGCAATTAAGCATATTTAGTTTTTTTTCACAGTTTACAATAAACGATTCCCATCTATAGAGTGGCGAAGTCACGCCCATCTACTTCCGCTCGATGGGACCTTATTTCGGAAAAATAATGTATTGAAGTCAATGGAGAGAGAAAACTTATCTTTCGATCCTGTTTGAATAGTGCCATGAATTACACATATGATGTTTGTCAATCTTAAAAAATAAATTCCATGTCAAAAAAGTCACAGTTGAAATAAGACTATGAAAAATACGCAACTACAAAGATTACTAATCCCAGATTGTGATGTCACAATCGTTTTCCTCCACCAATGGCGCGTTTCCACTGCAGCGGGTAGCTCACTTTAAGCGCGCCGAGCCGTGCGGGGCCCGTTTTTGGTTGCGTTTCCACTTGGCCTAGTTTTGGCCAGAGGCTACTTTTTCACCTTTTTTCTGGCCCGACTAAATCGTGGTTCTATCGAGGCCAACAAGCGGGGCCAACAACCGGGCGGAATATGCTAAACTACTGACGACTGCTGATTGGTCAGAGAGAATCGTCACAATTCTCGCGTGACTTAGTGTCGCATATATTAAGGGACGCTTGCAGCATTTGTGTAAACCTAAGAAAATGGCAAAGAAAAACATACCGTGGTCGATTGACGAAGTTGCGACGTTCCTCCAGATGATAAAATCCAGCGGGAGCTCGACGGCACAACTCGCAACCTAAACGTTTTTCAGGAGGTCTCTGCACTGTTGTCCGAGCGCGGATTCTCAAGGACTTTCCAGCAGTATAGGGAAAAACTGAAAAAGCTTAAGAGTGAGTATAGAGCCGTGAAGGACCACAACGGCCGGAGTGGTTCAGATAGGAAAAGCTGGAAGTGGTTCGACCTGTTGGACGCTATTTATGGCCATAGACCGGCCAACGTTGGGAGGGAGGGAGGCCTGGACTCTGCAACCGCGTTACTGGAGTCCCTGCATGGTAAGTCTTTGCTAACGCTCTGTTATTTGCTTGAAAGCGTTGTGTCCCTATCTATTCTAAAGCTCACTTCTAACAAACAAGTCTTTTATCCTTACATTTATGTTCGACAACCCATGCTTTTATGGAGCCCCGAAGAGCTACATAGCTAGCTGGCAGATAGCATTAGCTAGAGCTATTGTTTGCTAACACCACTTGCGCCATTGTTTAGCTTCTTCTTTTCTACAGTTGTTGTTGCTATTTAGTATTGTGCTACAGTAGTTTGTGGAATTAACAAGTCATGTTGCTGTTCTAGATGATGCCATTGGGACTAGTGAGGAGGAACAGTCCCGAACAACGGGTGGTGGCAGTGTTCCGTCCTCAACATCATCAGAACACTCCTAAACTCGACCACAGACACCAGTCGAAGAACCGACACCAACGCCGAGTGCCATCACGACACCGCAGCGTGTCTAAACTTTAGATCATCCATCGTCATTAAGTAAAATAAGCTATACCACTGTGTGGAAATGCTCTGTTACAAACTAGCTAGTACGCAGCTAGTACAATTGTGTGTGACATCCTATTATATACATATACATTATCAACAGGCTGGACATAATGTAATTCACTTTCACAATCATTGTAAACATCTAGGGCATAACTGTCTTTAGTTCATCCTTACTGTTGTTCTGCTTATACATTGTATTGTATCCTTGTGTGACCTGTACCTGTCCTGTGTTTTTCATTGTTATTGCTAATTCTTATTGCTATAATTATCTTATCGTCATACAGGCAAGAGGAAACGAGGAGGAGACGAGCGCCTTGCACAGCAGGCACGGCACCATGAACAGAGCCTGGCCCAGGTGGATCGGCACTGGCAGCTGACCATGGAGGCTGTTGCCCGGGCGAGGGAGGAGGAAATGGCCTTGAGAAGGGAGGAGAACGCTCAAACTCATGCGTTTAACCTGGCCTTCCTGCGCACTCTCGGCCAGGTTCTAGGGGGCAGCCGACGTGGCCCGTCTCCTCAGGAAGACGAACCACCTCTGTAATTTTAATATTATAATAATAATAATTCATTTATTTTATATAGGCGCCTTTCAAGGCTCTCAAGGTCGCCGTACAAACACATAAAAAAACAAGATACACAATACCTAACACCAGCATAAGAAACACAAACAAGACAATGCAACAAATCAAATAAATAAAACAGAGGATGTGTGATGGATAATGATCAGGGTGGATATGCGAGTGTGAAGAGATATGTTTTGAGGCGTGATTTGAAAATGGGGAGAGAGTCAGTGTTGCGGATGTCAGGTGGGAGGGAGTTCCAGAGGCGGGGTGCAGAGCGGCTGAAGGCTCTAGACCCCATGGTGGTTAAAGGGAAGGGGGGTGCAGTGAGGCTGAGGGAAGCAGAAGACCTGAGAGTGCGGATGGGTGTGTTGATGTGCAGGAGGTCGGAGAGGTACAGAGGAGTGAGGTTATGGATGGCCTTAAAGGCGAGGAGCAGAATCTTAAAAACGATACGGGATTTGACGGGGAGCCAGTGAAGTTGCTGAAGAACAGGAGTGATGTGGTTAATGGAGGGGGTTCTGGTGATTATTCAGTTTCATCTCTCTTGTTTTTGTTAATTTGTAAATGCAACATTTATACTTTCTTGTTTATTTCTTATCTTTCCTTTTTTTTTTTATAATGCCATATCTATTTATGCTGCTGCAATACAAACATTTTTTTATTTTGTATTTGTACAATGCCATGCCTTTTTATGCTGCAACAAAAAACACTTCCCAAATTGGGATTCAATAAAGTACTTCTCATTTTATCTCTTGTTGATAAATGCATAATCTGATTAACAAACTGATTTCCGTGAGCATGTAAACAAAGTCACTGGGTGGCCACTCACACATAAAATTACAGTTTTGGAATCCAATCATAAACTGAAATGTACAATTAAAGGGCTTTAAATCAGCAGAACAAAAACTCAGATTCACATGAGAAGTTATAGGCCTATATGTTTCCTAAATAAAAATAGGCTACAACTAATACCATTACTAATAATATTTGTGGATCTTTAAAAACAAAAGCCTACAATATCACTCAAACAATTGTAAAAATAGCCCAATTAAGATCTAGAGATATAAACATACATGCATTTATAAAGCAATAAGAAACACCATCAGTTAGGAAAAAGCCCATAAGATAAAAGTTAATTTTAAGAAGAGATTTAAAGCAAGAAATTGAGTTTGCTTGCTTGAGGTCCTCCTCTAAAACATTATTTGGTAACTGACACATTACTTAAAGTAAAATATTTCCTTTTACAAATAAACTGGAAGGGGGTATTTAGAAAAAGACAGAAAGAGAAGGGGGATAAGAGATCATTTGTATTTATGTTTACTTTCATATTTGCTCAAATGTTCTTATTATGGGGAAGTACTTACTGGTGCTTGAAAATCAAATATTTACTAAATAGTAAATTCTGATAACATTTTTTTGTTTAAATCATTTGACAAACACATATGTGAAAGAGAAAAATAGATGTATTTATGTTCAATACAATGTAGTCAAAACAAAATATCACTAGCCTTAATGGCCCACAATCTTTCAATGTCGTGTTTAAAATGACAAACACAAGAAATGTATATCAACTTACTGAACCATGATGTTATGAACCAAAACATTCAAGTTTCCTGTATACAATGAATATGTAGCTATTCAGGTAGCGCATCAAACTCTGAGCCGGTCGCAAGCTTCCACAGTGCGATGGCCACCCTCTTCTTTAGAGGTATACACTCGCGGAATGTTGTGTCCTGTCTCTCCATCGCTGGCCGCAGTTTGTTGCACAGGTATACGTAGGTTTCCTCAGACATCCTGAGTGTGTGTGAAAGATGGAACAATCACACCCCACCACTCGGTTGCTCGGTCAAGCATCCAAACACATGGTCTGCGGTGGCAACCTAACTTCTGAAATACACAAAAAAAACCATACATATTTGAATACGTAAAAGTGGTAGCTACAATTAATTAAATACTTGAAACACTTTTGTCATATAATGAGCGTGAAACACTTTGGTCGTATAGTGAGCGTGAAACACATTGCTAGTTAGCGAACGTTAGCTTACCGAGTAGCGTTGTCGTTGAGTCGTCCTGGAGTAGTCTCTGCCGCGTTGTACGATTGCCATAAGTCTCCCCTCAGCTTCTTCTGTATTACGTCTTGCTATAAGCAGCCTTTTCCGAAACAAAGTTTTCCTTCTTGCTGTGATAAAAAACCACATACCAAGAAGCAAGGACACGATGGCTTCCACATCCTCCATTGTTGTTGTGTGTTTTGTCGCATTGAAGATGACATCACGGCAGTTGTATGCAGCATAGCCCCGCCCGCCAAAAAGCTGATCGCCCCACCTACACTGCGTTACTATGGTAACTACCCCAGTTCCTAAACTGTAATGGAAACGCAGCATTACAGTGAGCCGGGCTAAACCAAACCGAGCGAGGCCTGCAGTGGAAACGCGCCATAAATGTCCTGTCTGTTCAAAAGGCCCTTACCCAATTGAACATTCTCCCTCCAATACCCATTCTCCTCAATGTGATCAGTAACCCCTCCCTCCACACAGTCATACGCCTTTTCAATGTCAAAGTACACTATTGCCATTATCTCTTTCATTTTCAATGTTTTCCCCACGTCATTACTCACTCTTACTAATTCCACATCCAGAGCTGACCTATTATCCTGTATCTTCTCCTTCACCTTTTCATTCTCTGCTAGTAACTGCTGTTTTTGCTGCCTATGGATATCACTGAGATGCTCCCCACTATGTACTGCTGCAAGTGTCCTTCCTAACATACCTGCCTTCTCTTTATCTGTCACTGCCAGCCTCTCCCCATCAACCAAAGCTGGCATTTTAATGGATTTCCTTTTCCCACTCATCTGCTGAAACATGGACCAGACATCACCTGTTACTCCTCTGCCAATGGTAGAACACCATTCTCTCCATGTTCTCTTGTGTGTATTTTACTGTCCTTCGAGCAGCTGCCCTTTTCCTTTGATACTCTATAACATTATTTTGTGACATGTTTCTTTAATTCTCTAAATGCATCGTTTCGCTCTTTAGTAGCCCTGCTGCATTCCTCATTCCACCATGGCACCACTTTCTTCCTACCCTTGGTTGTTGTTTTGGGTATACTGTTCTCTGCTGCATTTAGTATATGTTGCGTTATGTGGCTTGTAATGACCTCTATGCTTCCCTCTGATGTTAGCAGGTGTACCGACTCCTCACACCATATCCTACATTTCCCCCAATCAGCTTTAGCAAAGCACCACCTGGTTATCACACCTCCTTCCTGCATATATACATTATTATTCATTTTAGGAAGCACTGGATAATGGTCACTTCCTACAGTGGAGTTATTCAAAACAAACCATTCGCATGTATGAACCAAACAGTTTGTTACGTCCCGACTAGGGGAAGAGGAAAGCAACATACACCAGATTGGAATTGGTAATAATTATAAATGGCTTTATTATACCAGGGTGAAACAAAATGGCAGGCAGGCAGGCAGCCTGAAACAAACAAAGTGGCCACAAGGGCGCAAGTTTACATAAACAACCAAACAAAGGGAGGACTCTAAAAAGGGAGCCTGTTTACATACAAAGAAATAGATAAACTAAATAGTAACTAAAACCCTCACTGTCAAAGTGGTACTAACTAAAGAAAATCATATCACACTACAAAACACAGACCACACAATTTAACCACAGACCGAAGAGCAAGTAGCGAGAGGCGTCTGTTCACTCAACAGAGCCTCCAGAGTGATGATTGTCCCCAGGCTTTGTAGTCGTCTCCAGCAGGTGTGCGCCGGCTGTACGCTGCGATTGGAGTGCGTCAGACCCGGCGTGCTCCAATCACAATCTTCAGGGGGCGGACCAGGAGATGGCAGCCAATCACGACAGGGCAATCGCACAGCTCATTTACATGCAACACACATTAACACAGTTAAGAGGACCAGGAAGGCAGCAGCCGGCATGAGACTTTCCCCCTGTGAACATCTACTCTTGTGCCATGTCCATCATTAAGGCATACTAGTGTTCTTTCCTCCAGCATTTCTTCCACTATGTTTCCGTTACTGTCTGTATGGTTGCTGCCCCATAGACTGTTGTGTGCATTGAAATCACCACACCAAACTTCCTTCCTATGTTTATATTCTGCTATTTCTTTAAATATATCAGTGGTTAGATTTGGACATGGGTTGTATACATTGATTATCCTAATGTTATCTTGTTTTCTAGGGTTGCAGATGTCCACTATAATACAGTCTATATCATCAGGAGATTGCACCTCCCTATATGCCACACCATCTTTGAGAAATGACTGCACGACTTCAGGTCTGCGATGTGGACAGTACACCTCAAATACATACCTTCACAACCTGGGGTATTTGAAGATAAGGGAATGACATGTTTATAATATGCTGCAAAACACAACAAATATGCAGGGTTACGAGTCTGTTTCTAAGGCCATTTTATTTTTGGTAGTCTGATCATTTCAACAAGAGAATACTTTAAGAAAACGTTTTCCCACACTCTTTGTAGGAGCCATTTTATGGGTGTTGTTGGTGTCTCAGTTTACCTTAATTACATGTATAGTGCAATATTATTTTGAACACTTGGTGGCGGGGTTTAGCTGCGAGAGGTCATAGGTGAGAGGACAGGAAGAGCATACTGATTCTACCAGACGGCCAGCCAGCCCCAGCAGATGCTCATACTACAACTATTGACACCGTGTACTTAAACCTTGGTATGTAAAGCAATAAAACATCATTCTAAAACTTCAGCAAAAGACCGGAACTTCATATGTTTGCGTCTGCGTCAGGATCACTCTAAACCCTCCTGTGAAGTAATGGCAAAAAGATATAGGACACTGGAACATTTAAACTGCCATTACATTAAGTAGAATCGTACTCTGAGTGAAACTGGACAATATAAGAAACATATCGCATTGGATTAAGGATCGTTTTCACCGGACAAACAATTGGATTACTTCACAACCAACACCATCATCCCGGATCAGCTGGACAACACCTCACAATGAGCTGGAGATTGTCACCACCTGCGCTCATCAAGACGGCGAAAGGAGAGGCCGAGAGCCAAGGCTGGGAAAGCGGCCGGGTATGAGCAGCATTAAAACTGGATCGTATATTGGAATCATAAGCTGCATTGGACAATGGCTTGGATTTAATGCTGCAATAATGTCAGCTGTTTGAAACAGCTGTCGGCAGATGGACAGCCTGAAAACGAAACTTAAAGGAACAGTGAACATTATGCATGTCAATTCTGACGTTACGTCAACAGATGGCGCTGTTAGGATGGGATCTGTAATGGAAAAAAGGATTACCCAACACAAGGCCAATAGAGTGGAGCTCCATGGGACCTTATTTTCGAAAAAATTATGTATTGAAGTCAATGGAGAGACAAAGATTATCTTTCGATCCAGTTTGAATTGTGCCACGAATTACACATATGATGTTTGTCAATTTGAAAGATAATTTTGTAAGTAAAAAAAAAAAAAAATGTCGTAAAACTGTGAACACATTTGTTTGTGTGAAACGCTCAATGAACTACATCTCCGGTCTCGCAGAACAACACACGTCATCAAGATGGCCGTCACTACTGTCTTGTCAACAAAAGGATTGACTCCCCTCACTATCACCACAATGAAACACGTCCAGAAGAATGTCATGCAAAGCTGCCTGCCTTCCTTTGATTCTCTCTGAACTGCCTGGTCTTTTAATGTTTACGTCAACCATTTCTGCAGATAGCGTGAAGTAGAACAGATCGGCGATCGCCGATGCTAGCGTTGGCATTTCTCCCCCGGGCTTAAATTGTGTATTATAGAATGATCACACCGGTGACAGTACTCTTCAAAGGGTTCACGATATATGACTACTACTCTTACTTACATGTTGGGTTACTTAATGTTACTTCATATTAAGGCTAATAAAAATGACACGGCTGTAATGCTAACTGACGTGCTAGCTACTAGCTAGGTAGCTAACTTGATCCAGCCACTCCTGGTCCTTCCATCAGATGGGAAGCGAAAGAACGAGCAAGACCCATTGCTGGTATGATAACAACCTGGTACTAAGCACACAGGCATCTTGTTAAAGTTATCTTATCTTAGCCAGCGCCATATAGATAGATTATATCTATTTGGCGCTGATCTTAGCTATCTCTCAGTGGAGGAAAACAATTGTGACATCACTTACGCGACTCTGGGATTAGTAGTCTTTGTAGTTGCGTATTTTTCATAGTCTTATATTTCAACAGTTTTACGACAAACTGTGACTTTTTTGACATGGAAATTATTTTTTAAGATTAACAAACATCATATGTGTAATTCATGGCACTATTCAAACGGGATCGAAAGATATGTTTTCTCTCTCCATTGACTTCAATACATTATTTTTCCGAAATAAGGTCCCATGGAGCGGAAGTAGATGGGCGTGACTTCGCCACTCTATAGATGGGAATTGTTTAGTGTAAACTGTGAAAAAAACAAAATATGCTTAATTGCGGCTCTTTAAAACACTATGGTTTTTCTCCTGTGTGAACACGAAGATGTGATTTGAGAGCACTTGATGTAGTGAACGTTTTCCCACACTCTTCACACCAGTATGGTTTTTCTCCAGTGTGAATACGGTGATGTGATTTGAGAGCACTTAATGTAGTGAACGTTTTCCCACACTCTTCACACCAGTACGGTTTTTCTCCAGTATGAATATGGTGATGTTTTTGTAGATCACCTGATGTACTGAAAGTTGTCCCACACTCTTCACAGCTGTAAGGTTTTTTCTCCAGTGTGAATACGTTGATGTGATTTGAGATGACCTGATTTAGTGAAAGTTATCCCACACTCTTCACAGCTGTATGGTTTTTCTCCAGTATGAATACGTTGATGTGATTTGAGAGCACTTGATGTAGTGAAAGTTGTCCCACACTCTTCACAGCTGTAAGGTTTTTCTCCCGTGTGAATACGTTGATGTGATTTGAGATGACCTGATCCTGTGATCTAGCGGATGATACTCAACTATATTTATCAATCAAGCCTGATGAAATTAATCATCTAAATAAAATTCAAGACTGCCTTAAGGACTTAAAAACGTGGATGACCTTAAACTTTTTGATGTTAAACACGACCAAAACTGAAGTTATTGTACTTGGCCCGAAGAATCTACGAAACAAATTATCTAAGGATATATTAACCATGGATGGCATTAATTTGGCCTCCAGTGAGACTGTAAGGAATCTTGGTGTTATATTTGATCAGGATTTATCCTTTAACGCCCACATAAAATCAATTTCAAGGACCGCCTACTTCCATCTACGTAACATTGCAAAAATCAGGCATATCTTGCCTCAAAACGATGCAGAGAAACTAGTCCATGCATTTGTTACTTCAAGGCTGGATTATTGTAACTCTTTATTATCAGGGTGTACCAAGAAGTCAGTCAAGTCGCTTCAGCTGATTCAAAATGCTGCAGCTCGTGTACTAACCAGAGTTAGGAAAAGGGACCACATTACTCCTGTTCTGGCTGCCTTACACTGGCTCCCTATAGAACACAGGATAGAATTTAAAATTCTTCTTCTCGCCTACAAAGCCCTTAATGGGCAGGCGCCATCTTACCTTAAAGAACTCATTATACCCTACTGTCCTACTAGGGCATTGCGTTCCAAGAATGCAGGGTTGTTGGTTGTTCCTAGAGTCTCTAAAAGTACAATGGGAGCCAGAGCCTTTTCTTATCAAGCTCCACATTTGTGGAATCAGCTTCCAGTTTGTGTTCGGGCGGCAGACACCCTATCCGTTTTTAAGAGTGCGCTTAAGACCTTCCTTTTTGATAAAGCTTATAGTTAGGGCTGATTAGATTCAGCCCCTAGTTTTGCTGATATAGGCTTAGTTTGTCGGGGGACATCTTACTTCTTCCTTCTCTCTGTCTATACCTGTGTACTCTCATGTTCCGATTAACCCAGCTTCCCCAAATGTCTTTCTTTTTGGTGTCTGTATACGCCGGGATCCGGAGTCATGGATGATCCTGCGCTCCTCTGTCCTGGATCTTGAGTCGTGGCTGTGGTCCTGGATCATAGGTCCTGGATGGATATCCTCGTGGATTCATCTTCCTATTATACACACATGCATTTCCAAACATTTGGACTACCTATGTTGCAAATGTATTATCTTTTCAATTTACACACGGCATCTATTGCATGTCTGTCCGTCCTGGGAGAGGGATCCCTCCTGTTGAGATCTTCATATGAAGTGAATACTTAAAACGAAAGTTAATTGAGATCATGGTATGAAGTGAATACTTAAAAACGAAAGTTAATTATAAATCATACATGATCAATCATATTCTTGTATAAACCCATAAGGAGAATGCTTCTTGACGGTTTTTGAATATGTATCTATGCTTACAATTTTTTCTGTTGCTATTTGAGAACTTTGCGTTTTGAAAAGAGGGTGTTGTGACTTTTCATAGTATGTTTAATACTTAAAAACGAAAGTTAGTTATAATCAAATATAATCAATTATATTCTTGTATAACCCACAATGAAAATGCTTCATATTTTAGGTTTTCTATAGTTACAGTATAAACAAAACAAAGTGGGTTGTTTAGGTTGAGTTTTCTTCCTCTCCTCTGGCAGCAGTCCACAGGGAGGGGGGGCTTCACACTAAGGGGAGAAACATTAAGAGGCCAAAGAGAGTTCATGTCCTTTTTACCTCATATGAAAGGGTGTCTTATCCCATAACAGCTGTGGAACATGTCGGGACATGTTTAGCCTTGTACATTAGTGCGCAGGCGCAGTTTTCAACTGAATTGGGTGAAGAGGAGGAGTTTGTTTTTTTGGGTTTAGGATCCAGTTTTTTTAGCATAAAGGGACTGGGTTTTTGAGAGAGCGCGAGAGAGGGGGGGTAACCCCTGGTAGACTCTCTCCGGGTAGGCTGTGTGCTTCAGAGCTGGGTTAATAGCTCTCGGTAAGGTCTTTCTAGACGGGGTAAATATCTCTCGAATTTATTGGTTGTTGGCTGAGTGGAATGATTTGATGAGAGATGTGTTGGTGAATATTATAACCCGCGACCTGTAAGGACCTTCCTTCGAAATTTGCGGACAGGAATGGGTTTTTGAGTGTTAATCCGCCGTCTGTGTCGGAAAAAGTGTTTGAAAATTATAAATACCGCGACCTGTAAGGACCTTCCTTCGAATTTTGCGGATAGGAATGTGTTTTTGAAAGGTTAATCCGCCGTCTGTGTCGGAAAAAGTGTATGAAAACTGAAGTGAATAAATGGGTGAATGAAAAGTTGAATGCGCTTTTTATTGTCACCGGTCTTTTTACGAGGAAATACCTCTAAATTCTATCGGGAGAATTTTAAAATGTCACAACTGAAATGGGCAGTTGAAATTAAAACATTTTGGTAATAAATGTAAGACTGTGAATTAAAGTTTCATTTGAACATGATCACAGCACGGTGTTTTTGTTAGTATGATTATAATGTTGTGAGAGAGAAGGTAAAAACCCTGTATTAGTTTGGACCTATTTTTCTTCAAATAAACTGAATCCCACCTGTTGGATTGGGATCCTTTAAAAGACACCTGTGCCCTCCTCTCCTGCGTCAAAGGTAAGATTGCACCCTGCCACACACACTTAGGTAGGAGCACACTCCATTTACTGATATCAAAATCCTTCGGGATCGCTTAAACAGATTAAAAAAGAGTTGTCTGAATTGAAACAGCAGTTAATTGAAACCTTGGTTCTTCGGGGGGGTTAGGAAGAGGTGAGATCTTGCTGACGTTGGTGGATCTGAGCCACGCAGCAAACTTACATAGACTCAATAATCTTCGGAAAGGTCAATTAGGAGGTCAGAATAATTTGCCGGAATAAATTATCAGGACCTCTCAAAACTCTAAACACTCCTCTGTTGCTCTCCCTGAGGTTTCTCCCATTTTTCCCTTTAAACTGTGGGTTTTCTTCTGAAGTTTTTCCTTGTACGATGTGAGGGTCTAAGGACAGAGGGTGTCGTATTGTCATACTGATATTTTGTACAAACTGTAAAGTCCACTGAGACAAATGTAACATTTGTGATATTGGGCTATATAAATAAACATTGATTGATTGATTGATTGATTGAAAGTTGTCCCACACTCTTCACAGCTGTATGGTTTTTCTCCAGTGTGAATACGGTGATGTGATTTGAGAGCACTTAATGTAGTGAACGTTTTCCCACACTCTTCACACCAGTATGGTTTTTCTCCAGTATGAATACGGTGATGTGATTTGAGAGCACCTGATTCAGTGAAAGTGTTCCCACACTCTTCACAGCTGTATGGTTTTTCTCCAGTGTGAATACGGTGATGTGATTTGAGAGCACTTAATGTAATGAACGTTTTCCCACACTCTTCACAACAGTACGGTTTTTCTCCAGTATGAATATGGTGATGTTTTTGTAGATCACCTGATGTACTGAAAGTTGTCCCACACTCTTCACAGCTGTAAGGTTTTTCTCGGGTGTGAATACGTTGATGTGATTTGAGATTACCTGATCTAGTGAAAGTTGTCCCACACTCTTCACAGCTGTACGGTTTTTCTCCTGTGTGAATACGCAGGTGGCGCTTTAAATTTCCAGATGTTGTAAAGGATTTGTCACATTGCTGACAGCTGTGACGTCTCTCTTTTACTTTCGGTTTCTAGAACAGACGGACAGAGAAAGAGAGAAAGTCAATCTAAAAAGCATAAATACACAAGTTAACACAATAAAAACTCACTTAAAGTGGACCTATCATGCTATATTTGAACAATATATTGTAGGGCCATACCTATATAAAGTATATAAATATAGTTTTTTTTTCAAAATACCAAAAAGATCCTGCATTTGCTCTTTTCAGTGCTGTTTTTGCAGGGGGCTGATTCTGTGAGCTGCAGCTGACCACGACCCCCTGCAGCTGACCACGCCCCCTGCAGCTGACCACGCCCCCCTGCAGGAGAGGGGAGCGTGCTCTGAGATCAGCTGCTGGGCTGCAGCGGGGAGAAGAGGGGGAGAAAAAGAGATCTCCGTCCACCGTGTTTTATTCTTATAGAAGTAGTACATATCAGTGTGATATCCTTGAATGCGGACACGCAGCTCTGAATGTTCGCTGGGTCTATTACAAACATTGTAAGGCCCTACAACAAGTGAGTCTCGCAGGACAAATGGCACCCAAGAAAAGTGCAAACCTCCCTGACGAGGTGGAGGAGATTAAGAAATCTCTCGACTTCTTGTCAGCCGAAATCAAAACAGTCGTGGCGCAGCAAAATAAAATCTTGGAGCTACAATATGGTTTCAAAGCAAACAGAACCACATCATTTGCAGTTATAGAATTTATGGGACACATTACTAAGGCGATAGAAAATAAAGAATATGCAATAGGGATATTTCTGGACCTTAAAAAAGCATTTGACACGGTTGACCATGAATTATTAATTAAAAAACTACAGAGATATGGCATTAGAGGTGTTGCATTATCATGGCTATCCAGTTACCTACATAACAGGGAACAGTACGTTGAACTACAAAGCCATAAATCACAACTACTGCAGGTTACATGTGGGGTGCCTCAGGGCTCAGTCTTGGGGCCATTACTATGTATTCTGTACATTAACAATATATGTGAAGTATCAAAAATTATTAAAACCATTCTTTTTGCAGACGACACAAGTCTACTCTGCTGTGGGGACGATTTAGAACAGATATTGGTCACAATGGAGAAGGAACTGAGCAGGATGAAGATCTGGTTTGACCAAAATAAATTAACATTGAACGCAAGCAAAACCAAACTCATAATATTTTGGGAATCGATCGACCAATACAGAGAAGAAACTCACTATAAATGGCGTCCAATTAGAAAGAGTATCGGAAATAAAATTCCTTGGAGTAATCATAGACATTAAATTAAGTTGGAAACCACATATAAGCTATATCAAAGCCAACATGTCCAAATCAATAGCAATTCTGAATAAAGCCACATACCTAATTAATCAAGCTTCTTTGTTTATGCTGTACTGCTCCTTTATACTTCCATACGTGATGTATTGTGTGGAAGTTTGGGGGAACACATATAAAACAAATACACATCCTATCTTCATCCTGCAAAAAAGAGCCATACGAGTTATACATAAAACTACGTACAGAGAACCAACAAATAAATTGTTCATCAAACTAAAAACACTAAAACTACAAGACCTGGTTGACTATAAAACTATTCAAATTATGTTCAAAGCCGCAAATCAACAATTACTTCATCCAGGGACTTTTCACATGGAGAGAAAGCATGCACATGTTGAGAGGAAACTGCATTTTCAAAAAACCACCCGTACGAACAAATGCCAAACTTCACTGCATCTCATCAAAAGGTGTTAGTCTGTGGAATAACTGTAACGATGCACTGACATATTGTACAAGTCTAAACTGAAAGTATTATTTAGGAGCCAAATCATTAATGGTTATAAACAGGACCTGTAAAATCCCATTTGTTGTAATTGTAAAAGTAATTTCTTTCTGATTGTTTTGTAAAAAAAACAAATTAACATGCCAAACATGTCGCTGATGACGATGACCTAATGTTTTATTTATAAGAAACATATATGTTAGAGGGGGTAGGACCAGAAACGTTTTTTAAGATTCTTCTTGCCCCTGTTGAACATGACAGACTATCTGAGAATTATTATTATTCATTTTTTTTTTTTTTTGTACTTTGTTATAATTATTAATTTGAGTGAGAAAAAAAAAAAGGAAAAAAGAGAATATATATATATTATTGTTATTGTATGTTTTTGTTTCTGACATGTTCAATAAACTGACTAAAAAACAAGAGAAGTAACGGGGCAGAAACTCTCCTTTTTACGCAGCGGTCCAGACATAGACATCAAACGGCGACACATATTCAGTGTGCAGTTCCTTTGGCATTAGGGCAGGGATATCTAGATACTTTCCAATGTTTGACATCATGAATTGTGCTACTTTTAAAGCAAGCAACGATGTTTTCAAATCTGTAATCAAAAAGCTCCTCAAAAACGCTATCGAAGCAGTTCCTGCCGTTGCTACGTTAGTTCAAACAGTAACAACGGACTATTTCTCTTAGCGGATGCATGTCAATTTAAATCAATACAACTATTTTTTAAATCAATAAAATCATTTCCTAAATCCATAAAAGCATTTCAATTAATATTAGGAGTCATATCGTTACTTTGTTGAGAATGTGGCCGTGTGATAAGCGGGATAATGTGCAGCGACGCGGTCATTATAAATAACACCTTCATGCCGATCTAGATCCCTCCGCTCCGCTTACTGACGTCAGTAAAGTGTTCAAATCTGGATCAGTCTGTATCAGATTCGTTGCAGCCCCTTTTTTAGAGATTTGGGTATGGAGGAAAATAGAGAGGGTTGTGTTTTCTGACACTTGGTGAGTTCCCTGGAACACCGGGGACACATATTCATGTATAAAAGACGTACGAAAGTGCATTTTGCATAATAGGTCCCCTTTAATATAAACCTTGAGTTAACAAAATACTATTTATCAACTGTTTGTGTTTATTATATTTGATACAGTAATACAGCAATATTCTAACCAAAGTATATAACAGAGGTGGGGGACTCGAGTCACATGACTTGACTCGAGTCACATGACTTGACTCGAGTCTAATGAGTTGACTTGCCTATTTTTTTACTTGAGACTTGCTTGACTAACATTGATAAAAGACTCGACTTTGACTTGGTATTCATGACTTGAGACTTAGGCTTGAGACAGATGACTCGAAAGGACTTTACTTTTTAAAATAAAATATTTGCATTTGTATTTTACGAAGCCCCTAGAGGGCAATGAAATAAAAAAAAGAGAAAGGAGAAAGTAGGAAGTAGAGCGCACAGGAGACAGCCGTTTCATTGCAGACTGTTATGTTTATGTGGGGAAATACATACATTATTTGAGATATATTTCAAACTCGGACTTCATTTTAGGGACATTTCGGCCAGGGGTGTAGAGTTATTTGTTCAAGCACCGAATCGGCAAAACAGGAGAGTCTGTGAACCAGTCTGCCTTGACCTATGTATTCATGTCTGTGACTCTCACAGTATCTGCTGCCCACAGCTGCTTCATAGAAGAAAAACCTCCTTCACTTCATGAAATCTCTGCAGCACCAGGAGGCAGTAACGTGTAACTGAGAATCTGAGAAGAGCAGCAGCAGCTGCGCCTTCACTGTGTTTACCTTCATTAGAACAGCTAACGAGCGACCGCAGGCTGCTATGTTTTAACCACTTCCATTTCCATTAGCTCAAAATGGCGGAAGACCTCTGGAACTCACTACCCCAATCCATCAGAGACTCTTCCTCCCTCACAGCATTCAAAACATCACTCAAAGCCCACCTGTTCAACACTGCATTCAACCACTGACCCCCCCCCCCCCCTATTTTCTGTTCTGTTTATCTCTTTTTGTATTTCTTTGTTTTCTATTTTTTATTTTTTTATCTTAACTCTCTGTCAAAGCGTCTTTGAGTTTCATGACAAGCGCTATAAAAGTCCCATGTATTATTATTATTATTATTATTATTAATAATAACACACTAATGACACACTAACACACCAATAGCACAATAGCACACTAATAGCACACTTGTAACACATTAATATCACATTAATATATCCCCTCTGTGGAAACATCTGACTCCAACATGTCAACAACAACCTGGCTATCACATGATCACATTTCTCTGATGTATGCAATAAACACATATCTAATAAGAGAATGCCTCATTAGCATATTTAAACATTACTATATAGAAAACTGGAAGATTGGTTTTGCCTCATTCCCCCGTTTCATAAAGTGTGTTATCAGATCATGTTAAAGTGAGTGTTCTGTCATAGTGATGATTACTGTGGATGATATTCATGAAATGTACCATCAGTGTGAGATATGTGAAGTGTGTGTGTGTGTGTGTGTGTGTGTGTGTGTGTGTGTGTGTGTGTGTGTGTGTGTGTGTTCAGACTGGTGGAGGAACTACGGGGCAGAGCAGTATGGATCGGACTCGGTGTGTTTGTACCAGAAGTCGGCCTTTATCATGGAGCAGTGCACGAGGAAGATGACGTATCCTGACTGGGGCTCCGGCTGCTACAAGGTCCCTAGATAACATTTAAATAACCCCATTGCACACTTTAAAGAGTCCTCTCCTGCTGATGTTCAGGTGTATATCAGTAAGTAGTATCTCTACTTTAAAGAGTCCTCTCCTGCTGATGTTCAGGTGTATATCAGTATGTAGTGTCTCTACTTTAAAGAGTCCTCTCCTGCTGATGTTCAGGTGTATATCAGTATGTAGTGTCTCTACTTTAAAGAGTCCTCTCCTGCTGATGGTCAGGTGTATATCAGTATGTAGTGTCTCTACTTTAAAGAGTCCTCTCCTGCTGATGTTCAGGTGTATATCAGTATGTAGTGTCTCTACTTTAAAGAGTCCTCTCCTGCTGATGTTCAGGTGTATATCAGTATGTAGTGTCTCTACTTTAAAGAGTCCTCTCCTGCTGATGTTCAGGTGTATATCAGTATGAAGTGTCTCTACTTTAAAGAGTCCTCTCCTGCTGATGTTCAGGTGTATATCAGTATGTAGTGTCTCTACTTTAAAGAGTCCTCTCCTGCTGATGTTCAGGTGTATATCAGTATGTAGTGTCTCTACTTTAAAGAGTCCTCTCCTGCTGATGTTCAGGTGTATATCAGTATGTAGAGTCTCTACTTTAAAGAGTCCTCTCCTGCTGATGTGCAGGTGTATATCAGTATGTAGTCTCTCTACTTTAAAGAGTCCTCTCCTGCTGATGTTCAGGTGTATATCAGTATGTAGTGTCTCTACTTTAAAGAGTCCTCTCCTGCTGATGTTCAGGTGTATATCAGTATGTAGTGTCTCTACTTTAAAGAGTCCTCTCCTGCTGATGTTCAGGTGTATATCAGTATGTAATGTCTCTACTTTAAAGAGTCCTCTCCTGCTGATGTTCTGGTGTATATCAGTATGTAGAGTCTCTACTTTAAAGAGTCCTCTCCTGCTGATGTTCAGGTGTATATCAGTATGTAGTCTCTCTACTTTAAAGAGTCCTCTCCTGCTGATGTTCAGGTGTATATCAGTATGTAGTGTCTCTACTTTAAAGAGTCCTCTCCTGCTGATGTTCAGGTGTATATCAGTATGTAGTGTCTCTACTTTAAAGAGTCCTCTCCTGCTGATGTTCAGGTGTATATCAGTATGTAGTGTCTCTACTTTAAAGAGTCCTCTCCTGCTGATGTTCAGGTGTATATCAGTATGTAGTGTCTCTACTTTAAAGAGTCCTCTCCTGCTGATGTTCAGGTGTATATCAGTATGTAGTGTCTCTACTTTAAAGAGTCCTCTCCTGCTGATGTTCAGGTGTATATCAGTATGTAGTGTCTCTACTGCTGATGTTCAGGTGTATATCAGTATGTAGTGTCTCTACTTTAAAGAGTCCTCTCCTGCTGATGTTCAGGTGTATATCAGTGTTTAGTGTCTCTACTTTAAAGAGTCCTCTCCTGCTGATGTTCAGGTGTATATCAGTATGTAGTGTCTCTACTTTAAAGAGTCCTCTCCTGCTGATGATCAGGTGTATATCAGTATGTGGTGTCTCTACTTTAAAGAGTCCTCTCCTGCTGATGTTCAGGTGTATATCAGTATGTAGTGTCTCTACTTTAAAGAGTCCTCTCCTGCTGATGTTCAGGTGTATATCAGTATGTAGTGTCTCTACTTTAAAGAGTCCTCTCCTGCTGATGTTCAGGTGTATATCAGTATGTAGTGTCTCTACTTTAAAGAGTCCTCTCCTGCTGATGTTCAGGTGTATATCAGTATGTAGTGTCTCTACTTTAAAGAGTCCTCTCCTGCTGATGTTCTGGTGTATATCAGTATGTAGTGTCTCTACTTTAAAGAGTCCTCTCCTGCTGATGTTCAGGTGTATATCAGTATGTAGTGTCTCTACTTTAAAGAGTCCTCTCCTGCTGATGTTCAGGTGTATATCAGTATTTAGTGTCTCTACTTTAAAGAGTCCTCTCCTGCTGATGTTCAGGTATATCAGTATGTAGTGTCTCTACTTTAAAGAGTCCTCTCTTGCTGATGTTCAGGTGTATATCAGTATGTAGTGTCTCTACTTTAAAGAGTCCTCTCCTGCTGATGTTCTGGTGTATATCAGTATGTAGTGTCTCTACTTTAAAGAGTCCTCTCCTGCTGATGTTCAGGTGAATATCAGTGTTTAGTGTCTCTACTTTAAAGAGTCCTCTCCTGCTGATGTTCAGGTGTATATCAGTATTTAGTGTCTCTACTTTAAAGAGTCCTCTCCTGCTGATGTTCAGGTATATCAGTATGTAGTGTCTCTACTTTAAAGAGTTCTCTCCTGCTGGTGTTCAGGTGTATATCAGTATGTAGTGTCTCTACTTTAAAGAGTCCTCTCCTGCTGATGTTCGGGTGTATATCAGTATGTAGTGTCTCTACTTTAAAGAGTCCTCTCCTGCTGATGTTCAGGTGTATATCAGTATGTAGTGTCTCTACTTTAAAGAGTCCTCTCCTGCTGATGTTCAGGTGTATATCAGTATGTAGAGTCTCTACTTTAAAGAGTCCTCTCCTGCTGATGTTCAGGTGTATATCAGTATGTAGTGTCTCTACTTTAAAGAGTCCTCTCCTGCTGATGTTCAGGTGTATATCAGTATGTAGTGTCTCTACTTTAAAGAGTCCTCTCCTGCTGATGTTCAGGTGTATATCAGTATGTAATGTCTCTACTTTAAAGAGTCTTCTCCTGCTGATGTTCAGGCGTATATCAGTATGTAGTGTCTCTACTTTAAAGAGTCCTCTCCTGCTGATGTTCAGGTGTATATCAGTATGTAGTGTCTCTACTTTAAAGAGTCCTCTCCTGCTGATGTTCGGGTGTATATCAGTATGTAGTGTCTCTACTTTAAAGAGTCCTCTCTCTCTGCAGGTGCTGTGCTCTCCCTCTGGTCTCACAGTGTTTGTTCAGGATGTGTCGTACCTCTGCCTGAGAGCTGGTCAGCTGCTCAGTGTCAGTGTGAAGCTGAATGACTGGGTTTATAACGGACAGTTGATCTGCCCCACCTGCAAAGACTTCTGTGAACACTGCCCTCTCCAAGCCCCGCCCCTCAACACCTCCAGGAGCATTCCCATTGGTCAGTGGCACTGCTGCTCTTTTTTTTTCAGCTTAATGATAATATAGATAGATAGATGGATTCTTATTATTCTTATTTTTTTTAATATCTTGATAATTACCTTGTGTTACAGACCCGTGCTCCGGAGCTCCGGGGTTAGCCTTCACTCTGTGGCTCCTGATGCTCAACCTGCTCCCCCTGGTGGCCGGACTGAGGCTCTGCACCCACAGCTGATACATACATACACCGTCTCACACAGTCTCACAAACGCGACCGAAACACTGGCGGACTCGGGGCTCTTTTATCTCCTCTTTTCATTCCTTCTTCTATGGATCTTTTTACCGTAACAACGACGACAAAGAGCCGACCGCACGATATTTCTGCCTTTTCTATTGGCTCGTGGTGCAGCTGGAAGCCTTTCTACCCAGAATCCTCAGCTTTGTTTGCGCTGTTCTCTTCCATCGAGCCGTATCTAACAGCTGATTGCTTTGTGACTTCACCATAACGGTTGGTGCTCTCTTTACGAAGTGTTTCTACGATTTAAAGACTCTTTTTCAAATCAGACTTTTATTCTGAAAAGCCTACTTCCTGTGAGCGAGTGTGAGGTTTTGGAGCAGCCAGAGGTTTACATTTCTAACCAGATATATGACTCTTTCCTAAGAAGCACTTCCTGTTTTTAGAGGAAGTGTAACGGTTTATTAATAAGAGATGAGTTCAGAGTTTATTGTGAAGAAGATGGTCTGCATGAAAGCTCAGTAAAAGTCCCTTTCCAGAGTTACTTAACGCATCTTCTTAGGTATCGCATTCAAAATGATGCATTCAGGGTTCATTCAAGTAATTAATGTACAAAAAAACATCACTAATTGGAATTAAAATGTCTCAAATCATTTGTTTTTGACTAAATAAATACTAATACATTTTAAGATGGATTTTCTGGGTTGGTTTTTTCAGACGTGGCGATCTAAAATCACGTATTGGTCGAATATAATTTGTGATCCGGAAGAACTTACACATTAACAGCTAGAGGGGAAAGGGGGCGGGGCTACATAAGGTGATAAACTGCTCCTCTCACACTCGTCTCCCAACTAAAGGGTCTTTTTGACCTCTTCTAACAATCTGTAAACTCTCAGATCGGATGCTTTAGTTTCCTTGAGTCTCTTTGAGTCTCTTTGAGTCTCTTTGAGTCTCTATGAGTCTCTTTGAGTCTCTATGAGTCTCTATGAGTCTCTTTGAGTCTCTTTGAGTCTCTTTGAGTCTCTTTGAGTCTCTATGAGTCTGTTTGAGTCTATTTGAGTCTCTATGAGTCTCTATGAGTCTCTTTGAGTCTCTTTGAGTCTCTATGAGTCTCTCTGAGTCTCCTTGAGTCACTTTGAGTCACTTTGAGTCTCCTTGAGTCTCTTTGAGTCTCCTTGAGTCTCCTTGAGTCTCTCTGAGTCTCCTTTAGTCTCTCTGAGTCTCCTTGAGTCTCCTTGAGTCTCTCTGAGTCTCCTTGAGTCTCTCTGAGTCTCCTTGAGTCTCATTGAGTCTCCTTGAGTCTCCTGGAGTCTCTTTGAGTCTCTCTGAGTCTCATTGAGTCTCCTTGAGTCTCCTGGAGTCTCCTGGAGTCTCTTTGAGTCTCTCTGAGTCTCATTGAGTCTCCTTGAGTCTCCTTGAGTCTCTCTGAGTCTCTCTGAGTCTCCTTGAGTCTCCTGGAGTCTCTTTGAGTCTCTCTGAGTCTCATTGAGTCTCATTGAGTCTCCTTGAGTCTCCTTGAGTCTCCTTGAGTCTCTTTGAGTCTCTATAGTCCCGACAGACTGAAGTCAGAACATGAGCTGAGATTATTACTGCTTTTATTTCTTCTGTTGGACACTGACCAACTGAACAGAAAGGAGAATAAGCCATGCTGTCCGTCACTCAGACCACCTGATGATGATGATGATGATGATGATGATGATGATGATGATGATGATGACTCGTGTCATGTATTTGGAGAAGCTCACACTCTGAAATGTAAACACAATTTAGCCGCTTGCTTAAATCTGCAGCTCACTTTGATTTAAAATCATTTCCGATGATATTGCGTATAACAGACAAATGTACCTTAAAATGAACGAGCACACATGGATGCAACATAAATATGTGAGCTGGTTGGATCCCATCCTCTTCATCATCACCCCAATGCATCATGGGAAATGCAGTTTGTTCAGGTTTCCTGTCAGTGATTTAAAAACTGAAATCCTACGGTGCTTAAAGTCAGATGTATGATTTAGTCTCTGATGTGTTGTTGACCTCCGGAGGAGGGTTAGGGCCTGATGGGAGGTCTCTTTACATCTGACCGAAAGTACATGTTTGACTTCTGAGATCAAGTCAGAATTCAATATTTCAAAAAGATTCTCGGAATTCTGACTTTTTTTTCTCCAAATCTTCGACTTTTTTCTTGGAATTCTGACTTTTTTGTTTTCTCAGCATTTTGACGTTTTTTCTCTGAACTTAAAGAAAACAACCCTTTTGGTCGGATCCAAAACAAAGTGTCCCTAATCCTCTTCATCGTTTCTCTATTTTATTTTCGCAGTGAGAGCTGCTTGTTATTTAAAGTGTTTTCTAACGGTACGTCCACACGGCAGCGTGCGTTGAAGCATGCGACCAACAACCAATCGCATTAATGTCCTGCCCCGACACACAAGCACGCGGTTTGATTGGCTGGCGCTTCCGTCGACGCTTGAAAAGTTGAACATTTCTCAACTTTCGAAGCGAGCAACGGAGTCAAAGCGACTCGACGGAACCTCAATGCAGTTCGGCAAAGCGTGACGTCGCCCCATTCAAAGTGAATGGGGAGCATCTCCGTTGGAGCTGCCGTGTGGACGTACCGTAACTGAGAGCAGAGAGAAGTGATGTTTAACTCTGTGATGGAAACATGTTTAGTGTTGGAGAGACATGTCTTATTGACAGAATCTGCACCACGACCAAGTTTAACAAAAAGAGACCTGATGTTTTTCAGACTAAATGATGGTAAACTTTATTTATAATCTTTATTTAAGGATTTAATTCCAGAAAGATGTTTTGTGTTTAAGGTTCGTCTACATTTTAACATGAAATCAGAAACACAACCATTGAAAAGTTTTGACTTTGTTTTTTTTTTAATGTTTTTCTTTCATTTTAAAATGAATTAAAGTTCAAAGTTTGTTCGGACGATTTCCCAAAATGTGACTTTATTTTGCTTTATTTAAAAAAAACAACGTTTTTATAGAAATATATAAAAATACATATTTTTGCTATAAACACTACTAGCTTTGTTTAAAGGTCCGGACACACCAAGCCGATGTTGGCCGTCGATGGATGTCTGGCCGTCGATGAACGTCCTGTCGCCCTACTCAGATTGGTGTGTCCCGCACCGTCGTGTCTTTTCGGCCGTGTCGACACCTTGTTGAATCGGGAGGCTGTCGGCAAAAGAAATCACTCTGATTGGCTGTTCAGCTTAGCGAATCAGTGCATGAGAAGCGAGGTACGCAAGCAAACGATTAAGAAGGCACACAGACGGCTATTGTTTTTCCTTTTCATCTATCTGCTTCCAAGGGCTGATACCGCCAGTACCGCACGAAACATGTTTTCGATGGACGAGAGTGAAAATGGAACGCACGCTATTTGTTGTTTGTATATATCACGTAGTCTGTCTTCCGGTTGCCTCTTTTGAAAGACGAATACACACTACTGCCGCCTGCTGGTAAGGAGAGTTATTGCCACTCACGCATGTGCAGTGCGTACGTGCTACTTGGCCGTCGGCTGAAGTCTTTGCGGTGTGTTCCAGTGCGACTGTTTGGCCAGGAGACGTGAGGCGACAACAGTCGGGTCCGTCGGGACGTGTTCTTTGGTGTCAGCTTGGTGTGTCAGGGCCTTTAGAAACCACTTGGAACGACTGCTTTTCCAAAAAACATTTACCAAATTATTTCCCGAGATATTTCAACTTTTTGCTTAAAAAACTTTTTTTGTAAAATATTAAAAAACAATTCTGAACAAAGAAAGTTTTATTTCTCAAAATATTCCTTTTTTTTATATCTGATGCGAAGACAGTTGGACGGAACAAAAACGTTTTATTAATATTGAAATCCTCTAATGTTTCACCATCTGTTTGTTAAATGTTTATGAAGAATGAAATGTGAGTTTGAACATTGAAAGTTTGCTTCAGTGGAAACCTGAGCTATGCTCCTGTTCGAACTGAAAAAGGGCTGCTTTTGAAAGACAACGGAGACGTCCCAATAAACGTGTCTGAACCCCGGAGACGTGTCGCTCTGGTTCTGAAATAATCGATATCACTCGTCATTTAACCGTTGGTTTACAGAGGCTCTTAAAACTATATTTGATGTGTTTGGTCATTTGTTTCTGTATACATTCACTAATCAGTAAGTAGTACATTTTAAAACATCATTTGTTGTTTTAGGGGATCAAACTAATGTCTTGAGAATTAAGCTCTCAGTATTTCCTCACTTCCTGTCCTCTGGTCTGGAGGTCAATGGTGTTCTGAATGTGTTTCTGGTTATTTTCCTGAAATCAGGTCTGTTTGAAACAAGCTGAAGAGATTTAACATGTTGTTCTACCTCATAAAATACTTCAGTGAATTCTTAGATTTGCAGCAAGAACGAGATGTTTTTAAAGAGACAATAGAATTTTGAGGTTTGAGAAAAAAAAATACTGACAAATATTTTGTGTATTTATTATTTCTATTTTTTAAACATCATTTAGAGATTATAAAAAAAAGAGCATTTTTTAAAAATATGTTTGTAATAAAGATAACGATTTCTCATGCTTTAGAGATGATCAAAAATAAATATTTCTCAGAGAAAATTAAATAAGAAGATTCATTTTCAGAATCCTGAGATATTATTACATTTGATTACTCGCTGCTGTTCAGGACAGTTGTTGCATTAATGTCTCGTGCAACATAATAATTACATTTAGAAAATGAAGATCTAAATAATAGAAGTGAAAACTCCAATGAAGAAAAATAACTTGCAATGTGACATTAAAGGTGGGCTAGGTAATTCACTTCAGAAACACTATATTCCATGGAGTGCTCTTAACATCCCGATAGCAATGAATACATGAAATGCTTTGGACAATACATACATTAAAACACATCATCAGTGGAAGCCGTGGCGCTGTAGAAAGCTCGACCAATCATCTGAGCCGGCTAAAGTAACTGGATGGCCTACCTGCCTGTCAGCCTTCCATCGGGGCACAGACTGATCTCTGCCCTCATTGGTCATGAGCGCGTTTCTGTGTGTTGGGGGAGGGGCTCTGTGAGGAAGTCTGAAGGAAGGGGCCGATCTGTTCCGGCTGCGTACTTTCAAATTCTAGCCCACTCGAGCTGCTCTCTCCATTCTTACCCACCCCACATTTATGCTCAGAATTCCATCCTGAAGAGCCCTCCTGTAGCTCCAGGTTTTAACTCGGAGTGTAATAATCAACATTCTTCAATAGATAGACTAAACAGCTGAGGACACTGTTGGAGTTATATATATATATATATATATATCTTTATATTATTTAATAGTTTAACATTTATTTTCTTGCTGTTTATAGTGTTTATTATTATCATGTATTTATATGTATTCTTAGTTAGCGTCATAAGTTAAAGTAGTTTCTATGCTTTTATTTTGAAGGCATGTTTTGGGCACTGGGGTGATTAGAGCACCTGGTGTAATTGTATTGGAGACAGGTGGGTGGTGGGAGCCAGAGCACTAGGAGGCAAACGGGTTCTTACCAGGGTGTTTCAAGCTACACAAGGGAAAGGCTTAAGGAAAGAGATATAGGAAACCTGTTCATTGTATTTTGGTCATAGGAATAAAATGCACAACGGAGAATCTTGTCTGGATCATTGCCTGCGTAAGATCCGCTAACTAGTGCCTCAGCGGCTGTGAAGTTAACTATCTGTTTCAGTTCTATAGGATTTTGGCCGCTCGACACTGAATCAACTTTGTTGTCGCTTATTGCTCGGGGTCATCTACACCCCGAGAAGGATGTGTTCCAGGTGTCCCACAACAACAACTATCTCTGACCGAGAGCTGCCCGCTCACAAACTGGCAACAAGCCCCTCCTTAAGGGAGATAGCAGCTGCTCAACGTAGGTCATCTGCGTCAGGGGGCAAAGGTAAACATGCAGGGCGAAATTATTCCCAGACACGTCTTATATTTTCTCAGATATACATTTTTTTATTTAAATACAACAACTTGTAATAAACATTAAAACACATGTAGTGGAGTAGTATAAAGTACATCTCATGTGTACTCTGTGTATTTCCTACTATTGTCTACCTGTCAGTCTCTCTCTCTCTCCCCCTCCTCTCCCTCCTCTTCCTCTCTGATCCACAGGAAGCCCAGCTGGGTGCCGAAGTTCAGTCCGTCTCTGACGTGAGAGAAGAAGAGCTCGGTGTGGCAGGAGGTACACTCTGACACCGAGCTGTCGTCGATGTTCCCGGGCAGCACGCCGCCGCGCTCCAGGAGGATTCTGGGTAATAAAGAGGTTGTTGGTTTCAGAATTATACATTTTTCAACAAAAACAACCTGAAAAAATATATACAAAAAAAAACACTTTGCTTTTCAGAATTCTAAGAACTTAAAAATATATATAAATTATATATTTTATTTATTCCAAAACAATTATATTTTATTCAAGAAAAATAATAATCAGTAAATAAAAACATATTTTTTTACAAATAAATAAATAAAATCAGACGAAAACTCAGGTCTTAAGAACTGAGTTTAACTCAAGAGGCAAACTCTGGGCAGAGCCGGGACGCCCATAAGGAAGTGCCACAAACTGCAGTTCATCTATTGGCCGATAGGCGATGACTGCAATTAACCCAGTGGTGGACGCCGGAGTCCGCCACGAAGCTAACGGAGCCGCAGGGAGCTAGCTAGCCCCCTGCGGCTCCGTTAGCTCCGGCGGCGGAGGTCCGGCGTTATAAACTGGAGATCAATTGAATCTTTGTAACGCGTTACACCCAACTCTGCTGATGGTAGTATTTGTGTGTATTAGTACCTGTTGGCGAGGCGTATGTTGACGTGCGGCCTCTCGGCCTCGGGGTCTTTCACGCAGTCTGGATGGAGCAAACAGGAAGTGGAGCGCCTGCTTCCTGTCCAGCGTGAAAGCAGCACCCCCCCCACTGACGGCCCCACGGCAACCACGATGTCCCTCGCCCGGCAACCAAACTCCGTTACCATGGCTCCCACCGTCGCCATGGCAACGCCCTCCAGGGTCCCTTCCACCCTGGCAGGACCCAGGAAGTGATTGTTTACCTTTTTATCCAGGTGTTTCTACTTCCTGCTTCCTCTCAGATATTTAACTCTTTACTCCCACACATTCTATCAGAGTGTTTATTATGTCAAACACGTGACTAACAAACTTAACTTATTTGACTAAACCAGTAGTTTAACAATAATCCGAAGTTTAAAACAGGAGGATGAATGTGTTTGCTCCAAACACTTGTGTAGCTCAGATAGTCAGTTAGTTATTTAGTTGGCTAGTTAGTTAATGTGTTTGTTAGTTAGAGTGTCATTTAGCTAGTTAGTTAATGTGTTTGTTAGTTAGAGTGTCATTTAGCTAGTTAGTTAATGTGTTTGTTAGTTAGAGTCATTTAGCTAGTTAGTTAATGTGTTTGTTAGTTAGTGTCATTTAGCTAGTTAGTTAATGTGTTTGTTAGTTAGAGTCATTTAGCTAGTTAGTTAATGTGTTTGTTAGTTAGTGTCATTTAGCTAGTTAGTTAATGTGTTTGTTAGTTAGTGTCATTTAGCTAGTTAGTTAATGTGTTTGTTAGTTAGTGTCATTTAG